TAAATGACGAACTAAAGAAAAAAAAAAAACTGTGTTGCAAAGGTTGGACTTGTTGAAAATTGCAATGAATTGCTTGGAGCAGTTGCTTCATTGTGGTGATAATAAACTTGGTTTACCCAAATTGTGGGTTGCCTTTCTTTTCAAGATTGATAGGATTGGTCAAACTCTTTTCTTTGATATCATCAAGTCTTGAGTTATCTGCTGAGTTAGATGATGGCAACCCAGGACCAATAAGGAGGTGAATTAGGTTCTCAAAAATTTTAAGCAATTTTTAATAACAAAACAATGAACAAGCAACATGAGTAATTTGCAAGCTATTGAAAACTTATAAATAAAATACATAAATTAAAAAAGAGAGTTAGAGATATCAAACATTTCGATTTATCCTAATTTGTTACCTTTTTGATGATTATATCCAGTTCCAAGTTTCCTATGCTCTAAATTTAATCCACAAACACTAGTTTCATCCAGTGTTAATGAAACTAATTATAATAACTTGCTGGTGTTGTTAATTATTCAATACTCTTATTACAAATCTCTCAACCCTTCTTATACTTCAAGAATAAATTATTAAATCTAACAAGTTTTCCTCAATCCCCCTCTTACTTGTTATAGTGAAACAAAACAAAAAAAAAAAAAAAAAATGTAGAAAATAGTTAATTTCTCAAAGAATGAAGAAGAAAGCTCTATCTCTCTTGGTTATTCAAGTTGAATACTCTTCTTGTGCGTTTCTACAATTCTTCCAAATCTGATTTTATGCTTTGAGGTTGCTCAATCAATGGTTTATGATTGTTGAAGCTTAATTGGAAAGAATCTATTCCAAGTATGACAAGTTATTCAAGATCTCAGCACTAGGGGTTGTAACCTTTGTTGTTTTCTTTATAACACAATAGAATTTGTGGTTTCGCACCTTGAAACTGAGAGTTGGAACCTGAAATGTAATAGGTAATTTCAAACAAAAACAAAAGCATTAAGGTTTTCAAACAACCTAAATATACAGTTTCTATATTTATTTGTCACCATAAAAGGAAATATATTAAATAAAAAATCATATAATTAAGTTGGCTTTCGTACGAAAGAAAATACATTCAAAAAGCATATCAAATCAAAATTATTAGAAATAAACAAAATGTATACTTCAGTTACATTTAGTTTTAAATCCATCCAAATCAAGAATAACATTTTCAGCATGAAATTTTTGCTGATGGGTTCTCTTTCTTTTTTCAGTACATAAAGAACCGGTATGGCTCTCTGCAACTCCAAAGCTGACTGAAAGAAGATAAATCAAATAATTGATAAACTTCATTGAGCATATCACCCAAGATTCAAAAAAAGCATATAGATATTTATGTTTAATTGTAAAAATAATAAAAAAAATAAAAAAAATTAATGTTTGTATCAGAAGGATAAGTGGAGGGAAATTCAGATGGATCCTAAATTCCTAATGTAAAGGTGGAGCAAAAGCCTGCAGCCGCTGCAACCATGCTATTCTTACACTAGGATTCTTCAATTGAAGGAAAATTTCCCGGTATTTCTTCTCAAGGAATAGATCTAGTGCAAATAAATACAGGTCACTTCCTTGTTGTACCTCCTCCATTCCATCTAGACACTCAATGCATTCCCCAATGCTATAACTAGGCTTGAAATTCATGCGCTGAAGTTCAACAGGACTTTTCTCGACTAAAACAGCACTCCTTGGTTCAGGAGTGTCATAGTGGTTTTCCATGTTCACCGTCAGCTGTATTGTGCCCTGGCCATCTACAAGCCAAAGTGATGATGGAGAATTATCATTTAGTCTTCTGTGCTGGGTTGGAGTATCTGATTCACCAGTATTCACTGATCTATCAAAGATCATTTCCAATTTATCGGCATGCTGCAGTTCCTTAAACCTAAATTGTGTAGCTTCAGGGTTTGCCTGCAATAGAACAAAAGAAATACATTGATAAAATCTAGAAACATGGGACAGCCGACAATCACACTCAAGTTTTCAGGTAGCTTAAACAGCAATAATGGTAGAGAAATTTCAGCATACCTGTAAATAGTTCTGCCAATCTTCCTCAGTTGCACCAAATTTACAGGTAATGGGATCCCATTTCATGTTATCGGTTCCAACTAGCTTACACCATACTTTCCATTGTTCTTTAGTGGCATCCCAATGATTCTTAATTTGTATTCTGTCATATGTTACTCCAGCCTTTAGGTTAAACAACTCAACAATGTTCTTCCAGCCTTCTTTTGTAAAATGTGTCCCAGGTTTATTTCCATTTAACTTCTGTTCTAGACAAAGGTCAACAAAAATGTCATGGAAGGCAGGAGTCCAACAAGCCTTTTCTTTGTGATGTGAAGATGTCAACGTGCTCTTTTCGCTTGAAATTCTTTCACGAGGTTTTTTCTTCTCCTGTTTCTCCATGCCTGGCTCTGTTGTCTGTGAAAGAGAGGCATCTGAACTCTCACTCCGCCTCTTACGCCTATTGGGATGCTGCACCACTTCAGCACTATAGATGATTTTCAATATGTCAATGTGATCAAGCTCCTTAAACCTATATGGAGCAGCATCTGGATTGTCCTGTAAAAAAAATCATTATGATATTACAATCTGCCATGGAAATTTACAAAGAATATCCAAATTTATCAACTAAGATGACAACAAACTAGCATTAAGTAAGCTAGGAAACCTTTAAATAGGTGGCCCAATCTTCTTCACTTGCACCAAACGAGTTGGTCTCTGGATCCCACTTCATGCTACTATCTTGAACAAGCTTGCACCAAGTTCTCCATTGCTCTCTAGTGAAATCCCAATGATTTTTTATCTGTTTCCTCTCATACCTTATACCAGACTGTTTGTGAAATGATTCGACAATATTCATCCAGCCAGCCTTGGTGAAATAAGTACCTGGTTTGTTCCCTTTCGTGGTCTCTTCCAAACACAAATCAAGAAATGTTTTGTGCAAAGTGGGCGTCCAAGTGGCTTTCATCTTTGGAACTGACGTGCTAGACATCCTTATTTACCTGCAATATTCTGCATATTCAAAGAACAACTTGACAGGGATAACAAGGCAAAAAAGAAACTCATTATTCATAAGTATGAATACATACAAGCAAAGCACCATGAAACAGGAAATGGTCCTCTCAGGACCATGAAATTGTAGAACAGTTTCAACCCACAAAAGCCTATACCCATCTGAATCACATTCAATCCACCAACCTAGGGAAAGGGAAATGGGGTGTTGGAGCAGAAATTCCTCTGCTTTCCCTTTTTTTTGTTTCTCATTAATCAAGGGTGTGATATTACATTACAGCAATGATTGGCTCATGTGTAAAAGAGAAGATTTTTAACTCATATACAGAAATAAGATGAACAAAGATTATAAAACCCATTAATGTTTTCAATTAACTCCATAAAATTTCATGGTCAATTCAATCAATTCAGGAGTAAATTATCAGTTATATGGTACCCCAAAACAAAGCGCAAAAACCAGGAGAAATAGAATTGCTTTCACGCACATATTACAGGAATTGAATTGTTAAATTCCAATTTTCATATGATACGTTCAACGGGCTGGAAAGATCACAGAGTTAAACGGCCAATATGAAACAAAACAGCGTTTTCTAATCAAAACTATCGTAGAGGAAGTCAAAAGGGAAACATAATTGAGAACAGGAAACGAAAATGAGATAAATACCTGCGAATCAAAACAGCTGCATTGCAGTTGCAGAATTCCCCTTGTTTTCTGAGACTTTAAGGAGACACCGCAGTTTTTGGTCGCTGTAAAGAAGTACAGGATTGTACGAACGTGCATGGCAGGGCTGAGCCCAAGAATGATGATTTTTACTTTCCTAGTTCTTCTATGCTTTAGCCCAATCTAGATAACTTTGGCCTGAAATTGTATTATATAATATGAAATAATCCTTTTTTTTTTATAATTCATTTAAAATTAAACCATTAAATTGTTTACCATTTTGGGCTACACCAAGGACTTTGAAGAGTCGGTTTTCAATGGAAAATGGTTTTGGAACAGTTTTTTTATTATTATTTTTGTTATAATTTAATATATCATTTAAATAATTATTATTTTTTATTTATGTGAAACTTATGATATTAAATACATTTACTCATTTAATATCATGTAAATATTATATCAAAAGTAATATAAAAATATTTTTCCAATAACACTAATTGAGAAATGTGAGTTTGAAATTGAACTAATCTTAATTGAGTTGAACGTAATTGAGTTTTAAATTATATTTAAGCTTAACACTAAAATTAATTATTGAATTGAGATTAATTGGAATGGGACTACTTGGTGTAATATAACGTTTCATCCAAGCCGTTCAGCTTGGTTAAACGAAAATCTTTCCTATCATTTTTCTTATTATTTCAGTTTTTTTTTCTTTACAATTTTTATTAGCATTTTTCCTCAAAAATTGATTGAAGCTTAATTACTTGGTGCTTTTGTTATCCAGGGAGCCAAACAAGAAGTAGCCTTTTGGTGCTATCCTATTATTTAGCTTGTTCGCATGCTGTCTTGTTTGAGTATGCCTCCTAAAATGTTATTAATACCTCTCTTTTATGGTAATTACTTTAGTTATTATTTTGACTTTTTTTTTTAATTTTAGATAATTTTTTATGAACATATGAATAAATTTTAAAAAGAGTATTGATTTAATTAAGCTCTTTTTATTATATAGGTAGTATAAGGTATTATATATACAATTATAAATAGTTAAAAGCATAGAAAAGTAGAAAACCTTCAAAAATAATAATCCACAATTAACTGGAGTTAACCCACAATAATTTTAACTTATTAATCGAGCAAAAAAGGAAAGCCCTCAATTCGATTAAAATCAAATAATTTTAAACCTTAATAGTATATTTGAGTTGAAAAAAATAAAGGATAAGAGAGGAAAAATATTTTTTTATTTAATTATTAAAAAATTTAGAGTGAATAAGAGGGAAAAGAAATTTTTTACTTTATTTTTTCTTTTAATTTATTCATTTATCTAAATGAAGAAAGAGAAATAAAAGGATACGATTTTCCTTCCATCTATTTCCATCAATTTAAATATATTATAGATTTGAAGAGAAAAGATGCATAAGGAAAATTTGACATTTTTTATATTAAGGAAACAAACATTTTCTTATTTCTAAATTAG